TGTGGCACCGTCGAGAAGGCCGTCCTCGTGCACGACCCTACGCGTGCACCCGGGGACTTTGCGAACGGTGGCGTGCTCGGCGTGCCCAACGGCAGCGCCATGCCGGCGGGAGAGGGCAGGAACCGCAAGCTGACTTCCGAGATTGCGAATGGCCGTTTGGCAATGATGGCAATCATCGGGATGTTCTTCCAAGACGGCCTCACTGGCTCCGCGTGGGGCGACTGGGCTCTGTACACTGACTCCCCGCTGCGCGCGTTCGAGAACGAGACGGGCGTGCAGGACCCGATGGGTTTCTGGGACCCAGCTGGCTTCACCTTCGACGGGAGCGTGGAGAATTTCGCGCGCCGCCGGCAGACGGAGCTCAAGCACGGTCGCGTGTCCATGTTGGCCACCATGGGCTACATCACCCCCGAGGTCAGCGGGAAGTTCCCTGGCTATTTGTCTCCGTCGTCGGAGCTGAAGTTCGCGGACACCACTGGGGAGACCCACAACGTAGATGCACCCGCCTTTCTTCCTCTTCTTCTTTTTCTTATTTTTCCTCCTCTACCTCTTCTCATCCTCCTCCTCCTCCTCTGCCTCCTCCTCCTCGTCCTCTCGTCCTGCCTGTGTTCGTGCTGCCAAAACTGTACGTGTTAGATATCCCCCTGCAGGACATCCCGAACGGCCTGGGCGCCATCTCCAAGGTGCCCGCGGCGGGCTGGGCGCAGATCGTTGCCTACGCCGCGTTCTGCGAGCTGTCCCAGAACCAGTCCGCGGGCACGCCGGCGGCGAAGGGCGACTTCGGCTGGAAGGTGCTCACCGCCAGCGACCCGACGGAGAGGCAGAAGAAGCTGGCTGCTGAGATAGCGAACGGTCGCCTTGCTATGGTGGCAATCATCGGGATGTTCTTCCAGGACGGGCTGACGGGCTCCGCGTGGGGCGACTGGGCTCTGTACACCGACTCCCCGCTGCGAGCGTTCGAGAGCGAGTTGGGTGCTATGGCGCCGTTTGGTTTCTGGGATCCCGCTGGCATGTGCGCAGACGGTGATGTGGAGTCCTTCAAGCGAAGGCGTGCCACCGAGCTGAAGCACGGGCGATTGGCAATGTTCGCGTGCTTGGGCTATATCGTGCCGGAGTTTTACAAGTGGCCCGGATATTGCTCCGAGAGCAAGGGCTTGCTCTTTCAGGACATCCCCAACGGCCTTGCGGCGGTGTCCAAGGTGCCGGGCGCGGGATGGGTGCAGGTATTTCTGTTCTGTGGCACCGTCGAGAAGGCCGTCCTCGTGCACGACCCTACGCGTGCACCCGGGGACTTTGCGAACGGTGGCGTGCTCGGCGTGCCCAACGGCAGCGCCATGCCGGCGGGAGAGGGCAGGAACCGCAAGCTGACTTCCGAGATTGCGAATGGCCGTTTGGCAATGATGGCAATCATCGGGATGTTCTTCCAAGACGGCCTCACTGGCTCCGCGTGGGGCGACTGGGCTCTGTACACTGACTCCCCGCTGCGCGCGTTCGAGAACGAGACGGGCGTGCAGGACCCGATGGGTTTCTGGGACCCAGCTGGCTTCACCTTCGACGGGAGCGTGGAGAATTTCGCGCGCCGCCGGCAGACGGAGCTCAAGCACGGTCGCGTGTCCATGTTGGCCACCATGGGCTACATCACCCCCGAGGTCAGCGGGAAGTTCCCTGGCTATTTGTCTCCGTCGTCGGAGCTGAAGTTCGCGGACACCACTGGGGAGACCCACAACGTAGACGCACCCGCCTTTCTTCCTCTTCTTCTTTTTCTTATTTTTCCTCCTCTACCTCTTCTCCTCCTCCTCCTCCTCCTCCCTCCTCCTCCTCCTCCTCCTCCTCGTCCTCTCGTCCTGCCTGTGTTCGTGCTGCCAAAACTGTACGTGTTAGATATCCCCCTGCAGGACATCCCGAACGGCCTGGGCGCCATCTCCAAGGTGCCCGCGGCGGGCTGGGCGCAGATCGTTGCCTACGCCGCGTTCTGCGAGCTGTCCCAGAACCAGTCCGCGGGCACGCCGGCGGCGAAGGGCGACTTCGGCTGGAAGGTGCTCACCGCCAGCGACCCGACGGAGAGGCAGAAGAAGCTGGCTGCTGAGATAGCGAACGGTCGCCTTGCTATGATGGCAATCATCGGGATGTTCTTCCAGGACGGGCTGACGGGCTCCGCGTGGGGCGACTGGGCTCTGTACACCGACTCCCCGTTGCGAGCGTTCGAGAGCGAGTTGGGTGCTATGGCGCCGTTTGGTTTCTGGGATCCCGCTGGCATGTGCGCAGACGGTGATGTGGAGTCCTTCAAGCGAAGGCGTGCCACCGAGCTGAAGCACGGGCGATTGGCAATGTTCGCGTGCTTGGGCTATATCGTGCCGGAGTTTTACAAGTGGCCTGGATATTGCTCCGAGAGCAAGGGCTTGCTCTTTCAGGACATCCCCAACGGCCTTGCGGCGGTGTCCAAGGTGCCGGGCGCGGGATGGGTGCAGGTATTTCTGTTCTGTGGCACCGTCGAGAAGGCCGTCCTCGTGCACGACCCTACGCGTGCTCCCGGGGACTTTGCGAACGGTGGCGTGCTCGGCGTGCCCAACGGCAGCGCCATGCCGGCGGGAGAGGGCAGGAACCGCAAGCTGACTTCCGAGATTGCGAATGGCCGTTTGGCAATGATGGCAATCATCGGGATGTTCTTCCAAGACGGCCTCACTGGCTCCGCGTGGGGCGACTGGGCCTCTTACACCGACTCGCCATTGCGGTGAGCGGCAGCTTTTCAAAATTGTTGGGCGTGTGGCCCCCATGAGTGCTGCTGGAGCGCATGCTGGTCTTCACAAAAGGGGCAGCCTCTCTCTCTCTCTTTGTCCTTGTCTCTGTCCTCCTCTCATGTCACGCTCGGTTCTCCGAGGCCAGCAGGTTGGTACGAGCTTCCTTGGCTGTATTGTTGAGGCTTCAGACCCTGACCAGGAAGGCATGTACGGGTATCCTGGGGCTTTCTCCGTGCCTCGTCGGAGATCCGAGCCTCTAATGCGGCCCAGGAGAAGGTATGCCGGCATACCTTCTTCTGATATTCTGGGTGACAGTCGGAGTCTCTACGTTGCCTTCTTGGAATCCAGGGGGGTCGTCGGTGAGGGGCCTGGATGGCTCTGGAGATGTCCCGTGGACGGAGTTTTACCAGCAGGGTAGCGCAGAGGAAGAACTGCGGGCCGAACTCGGGTAAACCTTGCGTCTTCTTGGCGGCTTTCTGGCCGCTCCGGGACCATCTTGGCGCCTGTCGGGGTGATCTTGATCCAATGCCTAGGCTTCTTGGGCAGCGGCGTGCCAACGGCGTGCTGGCCAGACGACGGGCCGGACCTTGCATCGGGCCACGGGGCCGCGGCATCGGCGTGCGTTTGCGTCGCTGGGGCTCCAGACTGCGTCGCCGCCTCGGCCGCTCGATGGGCCGCTGCCGCGCCACCGAGATTCGAAGCTTGGGCCGCCACGCCTTGTTTCCCAGCTCTTTCACGCTCTCCTTGTTTCTCGTTGTCTCTCCGTGCTGCATGCCCTCTGGTCTGCCTCCATGGCCACGAATGAGTCTTGGCAATGTGGCTCGCACGCGATGTGGCTGTGACATCTTAGCTGAAGGCATCTGAAGCCCATCCGGGCCCTAAAAGGTAATAAGGCTAAAACCGTTTCGCTAATCAACTGTTTCGACAGTTCACGCACTTCCGCTCATTGACGACGATCCCGTCGATGTCAGCTCATTGCGTACCCCGGCAGGACCCCGTGCGAACCATGTCTTGCGTGCGAGCTACGCAAGAAAACATGCAAACCATGTCTGCGGGATGAAGCACACTTCTGTCACGCTGCACTGGCACGCCATCAACCCGTGTTGGTAATCTAAATCTGTATCGAGTCTTTCATTGCAAGGGTCCGCCTTGGTTTCCTTGGATACGTGTATCTTGGATTATCTTCGGGAGGTCTGGTGGCATTTGAGACCCCCATGCGCTGCAGAGCATAGAGAGCAAGCGTTTTCAACACATCGAGGTTACGTAGTGGTTTCGGCTGCGCAGGGGCTTGTCATGGGCCGCATTGAGGCGTCTTTGGAGCCCTCCCGTGTGTCACCTGAGGTTTCTTGGAATCTCCTGCGCCGCCTCGGAGGCCTCTCAGGACTGCGTGGTGGCCTCACAGGGCCCTCATGAACCGCGCAGTGGGGGAACGGGCCCCTCGGACCCGTGCCACGATGAGCCCGGGGCCCCATCTCCCTCTCGCCAATCATATCGGAGGAATAGGTTGGTGTGCCCGATGCTCGGATTCCCTGAGGGTCTAACGGTGTGTTACGAAGAACGATTCGTCCTCACCTTCCTCTCTCCTTTCCTCCTCCTACTCCTACCCTCGCCTCCTCTCCTCCCAACGAGTGTAAGAAGAAGGAGAAGGGGGAGGAGTAGGAGGAGGATGCCGCGGATGAGAATGGGGTAAGAGGATGAGGAGGAAGAGGAGAGGGAGATCACTGGCGGCGTCCGACGGACTCTTGCGTCCTCAGGCACTCAGGCACTCAGAGGGAGGTGGTTGAGGGAGGAGGAGGAGGAGAAGCAGGAGGAAAAGGAGGAGGAGGAGGAGGAGGCGAGGTGCTCTCTTGCTCCTCCTTCCTTCCGATCGCCCCTTTTGCCTTTTCGTTGCGTGACCCTGCTTCCTCCTTGCTTACACAGTCCCCCTTGTAGCCCCTTCCTCATGTTCCGGCTCTACCCTGACCTTCTTGCTTTCTCCTGGGCCTCCTCGTCGCCGCCGCCGCCGTCGTCTTCGTCGTCGTCGTCGGTCGTCCTTGTAGATGCTTGTCATGGGCTTGTCGCCCTTGCTCTCGTCCTTGTCCACGTCTTGTTTGTCCATTTCCTCGTGGATCTCGTTTTCGTCGTCATCGTCGTCATTGTCCATGTGCTTGTCCCATGCCCACGTCTTTGCCGCCGTTGATGACGTCGTTTTCATGTCGTCACTGTCGTCTGCCTCGCCGTCTTCGGGCGCAGTCATCGGTTGTGGTCTCACATCTGGGGCCCCTCCAGAGGATATCTTCGGCCGTCAGGGCTGCAACAGCGCTTGGAGCGTCTTAGGGCTTTCCTTGCGACTTTTCGGGTGGTCGTGGGTCCCTCTTGGGACGCCCTGGAGGCCTCATATGGCACTCGTGGGCCATCTCAAAGCCCTCTGGGGACTGCTTCGGCCTTGGTGCCCTCCAGGGCCGTCTGGGGCTGCCCTGTCGGCCTCTTCGGCCGTCGGGGTTGCCTCCAAAGTCTCTGGTGGGCCGTCGTGGCTCTCCTGAGGCTCTCTGGGGGTACCCTGAGCACTCCAAATGTCCTTTGGAGCTGAAAAGCTTGGAACGCAACACCTATTCAAATCCAGCGGCGCTTCTGGATTATTTAATTCTCTTGCACAGGGTGTCTAGAGCTCCGACCACTTTATTTCGGCGTCGTCGTCGCTCCCCCCCAGCTGCCTTGTGCAATTCATGTGTCGCTATATGGGTCGCTGTGTGCCTTGTGCCCTTCATGTGCCGCTATATGTGTCGCTGTGTGTCGCTATGCGTCTCCATGTGTGCGTCGCTATGTGTCGCTGTGTGTCGCTATGCGTCGATCTGTGTGTGTCGGTATATGTTTCTATATGTCGATATGTGTCGACATGTGTCGACATGTGTCGCTCCCCAGCACCCCAGCGCACCGCCCCCTCCGCCCCGACGACTTTATTTCGGCGTCGTCGTCGCCCCCCCCCTCTCCCTCTCCTCAGCAGCCCAGCGCGCTGCCCCCTCCGCCCCGACCACTTTATTTCGGCGTTGTGTCGACATGTGTCGCTATGTGTCGCTCCCCAGCACCCCAGCGCACCGCCCCCTCCGCCCCGACGACTTTATTTCGGCGTCGTCGTCGCCCCCCCCCCTCTCCCTCTCCTCAGCAGCCCAGCGCGCTGCCCCCTCCGCCCCGACCACTTTATTTCGGCGTTGTGTCGACATGTGTCGCTATGTGTCGCTCCCCAGCACCCCAGCGCACCGCCCCCTCCGCCCCGACGACTTTATTTCGGCGTCGTCGTCGCCCCCCCCCCTCTCCCTCTCCTCAGCAGCCCAGCGCGCTGCCCCCTCCGCCCCGACCACTTTATTTCGGCATGTGTCGCTATGTGTCGCTCCCCAGCACCCCAGCGCACCGCCCCCTCCGCCCCGACGACTTTATTTCGGCGTCGTCGTCGCCCCCCCCCCCCCTCTCCCTCTCCTCAGCAGCCCAGCGCGCTGCCCCCTCCGCCCCGACCATTTATTTCGGCGTCGTCGTCGCCCCCCCCCGGTCCTTTTCCCCAGCAGCCCAGCGCACCGCCCTCTCCGCCCCGACCACTTTATTTCGGCGTCGTCGTCGCCCTATTTCGGCGTTGTGTCGACATGTGTCGCTTTCCCCAGCAGCCCAGCGCACCGCCCTCTCCGCCCCGACCGCTTTATTTCGGCGTCGTCGTCGCCCTATTTCGGCGTTGTGTCGACATGTGTCGCTATGTGTCGCTCCCAGCACCCCAGCGCACCGCCCCCTCCGCCCCGAGGACTTTATTTCGGCGTCGTCGTCGCACCCCCCCTCTCCCTCTCCTCAGCAGCCCAGCGCGCTGCCCCCTCCGCCCCGACCATTTTATTTCGGCGTCGTCGTCGCCCCCCCGTGGCTTTTTCCCCCAGCAGCTCGGCGTCGTCGGGTGTGCCCCCCCCCCCCCCCCCACCCCCCGCCCCCCTCCTTTTCTCCCTCTTCCTCCCGGCCCTCCGCCCCCGCCCCCCCCCCAGCAGCCAGCGCACCGCCCCACGCTTCCCGCCCGACACTTTATTTCGGCGTCGTCGTCGCCCACCCCCCCCCTCCCACTCTCACCAGCATCCCAGCACACCGCCCCCTCCGCCCCGATCGCCTTATTCTCTTGCACAGCTGTGCTCTAGAGCTCGGACATCTTTATTTTCGTCGTTCGTCGTGTCGTTCGTCCCCCTCGCCCCCCCCCTGTCCACGCTTCCCAGGGTAGCCCCCCTGGGCCACGGAACCCTTTATTTTCGTCGTTCGTCGTGTCGTTCGTCCCCTCGCCCCCCCCGTCCCCCTCGCCCCCCCCCCTGTCCACGCTTCCCAGGGTACCCCTCGCCCCCCCCCCTGTCCACGCTTCCCAGGGTAGCCCCCCTGGGCCACGGAACCCTTTATTTTCGTCGTTCGTCGTGTCGTTCGTCCCCCTCGCCCCCCCCGCCCCCCTTCGCCCCCCCCCCCCCCCCCCCCCCCTCCTTGTCCACGCTCCCAGGGTAGCCCCCCGGCTCTTGGGGAACCACTGAGGCACTCTTGGCCGAGGCCTAGAAACAAAACCAGGCCAGGCACCAGAAATCGTCGTCGTCGTCGTCCTCCTCCTCCGCTTTCTTCCTGGATCCTCGTAAACCCCCCCTGGGGGAAGGAGGCGAGGGCCTCCTGTCCTTCGCAGCTCCTTTGTGCAAGAGCCAGGGCACGCGTGCCACTTGTTTTTCCTGCTGCTGCCAGCATGGCGGATGCTAATATGGCATTCAGTGAAGTCTTGGGCCACTTGGTAGAACCGGTTGTGCCAGGGGGCGCCGCTGGCAGCGGCGACGATCCCAGGCAAAAGGCGCTGCTCCGCAGCTCCCCAGCAGCATCGGACTCTGATTTGAAGCAACTTCAGTGCCAGTTCGAAGAGCACAAGAGGTATCATGACAAGGTTCTGGTGTCATTACATACACAGTTGCAGAACGTCCGCAATGAGAACTTGCAGATGAAGGCAACAAACGAAGAGCAGCTCCGCATGTTGGGCGTCGGAGGTCCACCTCCAGGCGCGCGGAGGGGCGGGCTCTGTACATGACGGGTGCGATGGGATATCCAAAAAGATGGAAACGAAAGTAAAAGCAGATATGGTGGGGATATTGGA